AACCAATATAGACTAAGTCCACTACGGAACGATTCCTCGGAGATATTCTTGATGGGAGGAAATCTTCTGAGATCTCATCGTAGACCCTCTGCTCTCGCCTATAAAAGGACAGGATCTCTAGGGGTTGAGGGTGTGTTAGTGTGTTAGAGCGTCATAATGTTGACACGTATAGACGCATCTCTCCGTTGAGCAGATCAAACAAGATCTCTGAACGGATGACATCAAAAGATACGCATCGTATAATTAGATCTATGTATTGATTTCAATCCTGACATATAGGTTAATTCCGCATTATTGACTTAGCATAATTACAGATTTTTATGCTTACAGTTCATTCTCCGGCAGAATTAGCTTGCTCATCGTTACTGTAAGAATTAGGAGGTAGTATGAAGGTAAGGAAGCAGATACTTTAGATGCTGAAAACCAATGCACAGGGATAGTAATGAACACCATCATTCATCCTCTAACATTTGAGTCATGGGATCCCCAGCCAGTAATGAAGCAACCACATAAAGACTATATCCATATATAAAGTCATACTCAGAAGCCAAGAAAGGAAACAGACAACCAGAACACTTGTTCGAGTTCTAAATTCTAAAGATCTTACATTGGTGTAGCAATGTTGTGTCGAGCACATATGTACAGAGACTGGTACTTGTGCTAAGCATCACCCGCTAAAGTTGCTCCACCGGCACGGGAAGTTTGAAAGGTGCAACCACAGTGAACAGAAGTGAGGCTGAGGCAGCCGCTGATGATGAGTGAGTGCCTTCCGGGGCAGGTATGAAGCCCTGGGAATGAGTCACAAACAGCTTGGACTGCCGGAGGTGTCAAGGCCGTGCACTGGCTGATGTTCAGGTTCACTAGTCCTTCTTGGTCATGGCTGCTGTTCTGCCACATCCGAGTGTCGTTCCTTGCACGGCTGTTTGCGAGCGAGTACATGGCCCGATCAGTGATGTTTTGGCAGTAATACAAGCCAAGAGATCTCAGATGCGGACAGCCATTCGCCAATGCAATCACACTTTTATCTGCAATGAAGCAAGCAAATCATTAACACTAGATGCTGGAGTATGAACTGACTCGCTGCTAAAAGATGATGTGTAGTGATCACAGCAACTAGAGGAGGCAGCAATATCCATGCAACACAATCTACTATCATCTGTCAAAACCCAAAGACAATAAATACCATCTCAATGAAAAATCCATGAGCAACTCCAAATTTACCTCTCTGCAGAGAAGTAGCAATGTAAAGCAGAACCATCACTATGTTAATAATATGTTCAGGCATTCAAAACACCTTAAAAGGGAAAGACAAAATTGTACTTCTATTCAAAACACCATAAAACTAAACATATGTTTACCACATATAGTTAGAACTCAGTATACACTGAAAAAAAAGCCAAATAGTAGATTTTGTATAGGCATGAGTGGCTTTCACAGCTTGTTGGTTTGTTTTACTCTTACCAGTTTTCTTCCATTCGGCATTTATTTGAAAAAAACTGCTGAAATTACAGGGATTAAATAAGCGTTTATCATCTCATTTACACAAACATAAGATCACAAGATAGGAGAGATGAACTAGGCTCTATCCAACTTCATAAAATTATGCCATGTTTGGGTGAAAAAATGCTTGCCAAGAAGAACCATAAAACATAAAAAACGACTAATAATCTATTTCAAATAACCATCAAGGGCCTTTAACCCAAAATCGACGATACCTGATAAGTGTAAAATTAACGCTCCGGCAATAGACATACAAAATGTTCTTAAAAAAATTGAATGTATGTAACTCATTAGGCTTAGGTCATTCACCAACTCACTAACAGATATGATAAATTCAAACTATTCGAATTTTTTAATGCAGTGATTTAAAAAGCGTTAGACGTCAAGGTCCAAAAACGCCCGAGGCGCTAGGCGCTCGCCCAGGCGCTTGCCCGAGCGAAGCGAGACGCTAAAATATAAAAATATAAAATATAATTATTTAAAATTTTAAATTAAAATATGCTATTAAATTAAGAAAATCTATTAACAGTATTGAAAATTAATAATTTCAAATAAACCTAACAATATTAACAGTATACAGTATACAGTATACTGTTAACAGAAGGAGAAGAAGGAAGTGTAAGGGAGTGCTGAGCCTCCTGACTGAGAAAAGAGGAAGCGGTAGCAGCAGCGACAGCGGCGAGCAGCGGGAGCGGGAGCAGGAGCGGCGACAGCGGCAGCGTTTGCGAGCAACGATAGCGACGAGTAGCGGCAGCGGCAGCGGGACCAGGAGCAGCGGGAGGCGCGAGCGGCGACAACGGCGACAGCGACAGCGTTTGCGAGCAGCGACAGTGGCGAGCAGCGAGAACGGGAGCGGCAGCGGCAACGAGGGTTAGGGTTGGGTTGTCACTGATATCGGTTTTAGTTGGTTCGATTGAACCAACTAACTACCGGAGACCGAACCAGACCTAAAATCCTGGTTCGGTCGCCTTGGTTAACCCAGGCACTCGCCCGAAGCGCCCAGCGCTTGGGCTCGGGCGAGCGCCCAAGCGGCGCCTCTTTGAAGCGCGCCACCTGGAAGATTAGCGAGGCGCTCGGACCTCGCCTCGCCTCGCCCGAGCGCCTAGGCGAGCGCCCGAGCGCCTTTTTAAATCGCTGTTCTAATGCATATGATATGCAAATGAAATGATAGAGCTAGCTCAAGTACATCAAATACTTTAAGGAAAGATTGCTTGCATGTTATCACATTGTATTTGACAGGAGTTGTTCCAAGATGCATTCTTCTAGGTTACTCTGATTTCTAATCATGTGTTGTTCATATATGTTATGTTGGGATTTTTCCTAAGCTTGTAATGGTGTACCTTGTATAACACACTGCAAGATTGATGCACGTAACTAGACCAACATTAATGCATGAAACTTAAAGGGAAACAGGTTAAAGGACAAGGAACATCAGCAGGCTCCTAGGTCCTATTTAAGCAAAGTAGACAAAATAAAACAACCCAAGTATGTCACTAATCTAAACTAGATATGAAGGTTTGAATGTAAAGCTATTACATCATTCATGGAATAGGATGAAATAAGACTATTTAAGTTTGATATCCCTTTCTTGGTAATGATATTTGCACATGACTCTTCAAGGAGATTACCTGTTATATGAACACAGCCACACAAGTCCAACGCCCTGAGATCAGGGCAACCTACTGCCAAATTGGTAACTCCTTCATCACTGATGTCTTCACACCAGCCCAAATTCAAATACTGCAATTTAGGGCAATTAAATGAAATAGCCTGCAATATACCCATCAGATCTAAGGAGATGTTGCAAAAGGATAAAGCACCAATGGGACCAAATTACCAAACAAAACCATACCTGTAGAGCTCTGTCTGATGCAGCTGCCGAACATCCACAAAGGTTCAAGTTTTTCAGGTTTTTGCAGCAACTACTCAGGTATACAAGAGCATAATCACTGAAGGCTTCACAGCCACTGATGTTTAGTTTTGTTAGGTGGGGACATCCATCGGCCAAAGCATACAAAGAGCGGTCACTCAGTTTCAGGCCTTTGCTAAGGTCTAGATCCCTCAAATCATGGCAGTACCTAGCAACAGTCTCCACAGCATCATCCTCAAGCTGAGGTCGATAATTTTGTCGAAGTGTCAGCACCTGCAGCTTCACAAACTTAGGGGCAAGCGATTTCACAAGACTGTTCATGTTGTACTTGCACCTACATCCAACGAGACACATCTCTGATTATCAAGTCTTATTTTCATCACTAAAAAATCCACCACACACAATAAGGATGGGATTAAGAAACTTAAAAAGAGAAATACAACATAATAAAAGTTCCAAAAGATGCAAATGATTTAAGAAAACTCAAATTGATTGGTCATCCGTTGCAGGTCAATCTGGGAATCCATCATAATATCTTGCTAGTAGCTATCCTCATTTACAGAACAATCCTGGCCCTTATGTAGAGTTGGAAAGTGAGCCTGCCATAGCACCGATAACAGCATAACATGTACTGCTGAAAAATCTATATATATTAATTTAGAATTATCAAAGAAAGCTAATCAGCTTTTGCTTCGCGATTTAGATTGATACATACAGCTATGTTTTCAGGCTTCAACATAACTTATGACATTCAAATATGAGGATGGTAACATTGTATACTCCATAAATTTCCATAACCATCTTTTCAGGTTTAACAATATGTCCTGCAGAAGCTGATTCTGAGACAACAAAGGTTCAGATATAGGAACAGTGTCTTTCTGCAGAAGCTTTCTTCTGGAGAGTTCTTGCAGTCACTAGTTGGAGATTTCTTGAATGAAATACCCATATTTCCTTCTAGTTCTAATATCTAGCCTCTTACAGAACTAACATCACCACATAAAGAAAATATACTATATTCATAATGCTGACCAAGTTCCTATATTCATGATCTTGAGAGAGGAACGTCACAAAAGAAATACACAGATAAACTATCAGCCGGTCCATTGGATCCCTCTTGAACTGCTGCTTCGAATAGTCAATTATATGTGTCCTATTATCTCTGAAGATTGATGCTTTATGTAAACAAGTCTCAGTCTTCGACATGCACCCAAATGGTGCACACATGGATCCCTTTCAATGTTTGGACTTGCCATGTGGATGCCACATAGACAACAGAATTCAATTAACTTGCAGGCCAGAATATTGTCAGCCAGAAACATCACCATAGAAAAGAAAGACGACTGATAAGTTATATGCTTACAAACAGGGAAATGATAAAAAGTGACAGGAGACAGCATTTGCAGCAAGGTTATTTCAGCCGGTAAGCCCCTCATCAGATGCTGGAAATTATCTTCGGGTATAAATCAATCAGCAAAATAAATCAACCTCAAAACAAGATTGATAAGGAAATTTAGAAGGATGGTCCACTAAATGATAGCTTTCAACAGGCGAATACAAAAAACACATCAACATAGTGTACCCACTCCTATGTAGCATATATAGCAGGATACAATAGGTCAAAGAATTTAGTAGGATAAGAAATTCTTGCTAGACATTTCAGAAATTGTCAGAAATGGTGATTGTAACCAAGAAGAGAAGAGGGGGGAAATAACTCATCTACTCTCATACATTATCACGTAACCTCCCAATATGAACGAATTGGTCAAGCATCAACTGCCAGTCAATGAAGCCACGACTCATTCTTAAAAATGCCATTACTTCCTACTGGATCAAAAAATAAAGCAAACGTCTGGAGGATGAACAATTAAAAGCGTCCAATAGAGTTACAAGCAGCAGTTTGTAGAGGGATAACAGAAGCAGAAAACAGGAAAGCATACCATGATAGAGAAATACTAGTAATTCCCAACCGCAGTGCATCTCTCCAGCTGGTACAAACATCTGAAGCCACAATCACAGTCCGGTCGTCCACTGGAGACAGGACTCGCAGCAAAAGTTCCATAGGGAGGTCCTTCCAACCTGTCATGACATCCCCTGCCCCCTCCATCTTCCCTCCACCACCAGACACAATGAGGCGCTTAAACCAAATGTCCAAATCTCCCGACTCTGAACTCCTACCAAGCATTATTCAACAGAACACCTGCATCATAGCAAGTTTAAGCATAAAAAGTAAACAATAAAATTGCATCAAATTATCTTTTTTTTTTCTTTTCCTTCTGTTGGAGGCAAAGACGCAAGGCCAAATAAAATATCATACAGAGTAGAAAAGAATCAACGAAGTAACAGTGACGCACAGACTGAAGCTAAAATCCTCAGTTCCTTTCTTCCAAGAAATTAAAGAACAACCTTTACGCTAAGAAAGATAACATCTCAACTGTTAACAACAAAATAAGCGATAACGGACACTCGCAGAAGGAACATTTAAACGTATATCAACGATGACCTACACAAACATCATAACCCACAAACCGATGCTTCAAGAAATCCACAGAAAAGACTGGCGAAGACGGAAACTTTCGGAAACCCTAATCAAGAAACAACGAAGCATCGGACAGCTGGCTCTATAAACCTCATTAAGTTCGAAACTGTTCATCGGAATAAGGCGAACCGAGTTTTGCCCGGAAGGAAAACTGACGAGCAAGGGAAAGAGAGTACCAAAACCTCGATCGCAAAACTCCTCCTCGTCTTCAAAGGGAACGACCGAAAAATTCGAACTTGGAAGTGGATCAACGAGGGTTACACGAATACTCAAGAAAGAAAAGAATCAGGAATCGGAGAGACGATCACCTGGTGAAAGAATCGGATGCTGAAGTAATCCGAAAGGAGGGGATCGAACCGAAGCCGGAAGCGAGACGAGGGATCGAAGCCGATGCCCTGAGCGTCGGAGCTCCCGCAATGGTTCATTTATAGCCAGGTCCCGGGACGCGAGGAGGGGGGGGAGAAGCGGCGGTGGGCCGCGGAAGGACACGTGTCTGCCGAGCTCATTTCTGGCGCCTCCTCGTGGGACCCATGCCGCCGAGCGCGACGCGGTGACGAGACTCGGTTGATTCGAGGATTCGTGAGAGAAAAGTGTGGGCGACGGGAGGGGTGAAAGGAACCACAAAAAGACGACGTTTTGTTGGGTACGTCAGACCTCTTTTCGTAAAGAGAACAGCCAAAAGCAGACTTCACGGTAAGATGGACGATTGATTTATCACACAAAAATCTCAGTCCATCCTAATCTATGTTCATAAGTGTCTGTAGTACATTTAGATGGAGAATTGCTTTGGCACATACATTAATATTGTCGATGGATTTTAGTGACTTGCCACAATAATCCTATGTAGTGTTGGATATTTTAAAAATAAAAACTTCTACAATATTGTATTTAATGCATGAAATTTAGTTAGAAATTGCAACTGATACATGTCTAGTGAATCTATTCTTGTTCCTCCATGTTCAACTATGTTTACATTTTTGTAGTTTTATATTACTTGTTCTATTTCTATACCAAATTTGCTGATATTGATCCGAGATTTTGGACGTTGCTGAATAGAGATGAGTGAGGAATTTTCATTTCCGGTGGGTGTCTGATAAAATTGATGTGAAATGTCATCTATCATACTTGGAAGTTGGCACAATTGGCACCCAATTCGGCAAATGATGATGCTTTGGACTTTGTCACATCAAGATAAAGCTGGGTGATGTCAATTTAGAACTTGTCGGCCACTTGCAAGAACCATTTTGACTAGATTGCCTCGAGAAGAGTTTCTAGTTCTTATCCCATTGAGCCACCATCACACTCTTTATCTGCTCTTTTTATTTCTTTTCATTATAAATCGGTCTTACGTAGATACCTTAATCAAACAACATCGATAATGTCAATCCATTCAACATTAGATCCTCTGGTTCAACTAATTGAGATAAAAAAAAATTAAGATTTTAATTCCACATATATTATTATCTAATAGCTTAGAGCAAAACGAATACAAATTTTATTTTTGTGACGAGAACATTTAGCATTGTTTTGGAAGGGGAAAACCTACTTGGGTGGTGAGGGTGACGTGGCCGCTTGGCATACGGACGAGAACCCCTGTTTGCTTCAGAATGATCCGAAGCAGCGTTAATGCTGAATTATGAAACAAGATTAGCAGTAAGAGTTGATGAGTGCCAAAATAATAAGTGACACAAAGCTTTATGATGCCATGTCACTTGATACACATAAAACCTAACTCAAAACATATGCATGATTCTGCTAGGCTAATAAGGTCGGAGGTACATGAATCTTTTACTGTAATCGATGTATATAGCGTGTGGTTCAACAAAAGTATTGAAGGAGCATCTCGGTGATGTATATGATCCAAAGGATACACAGTGCATATGAGAAACCAAAGAAGAGGCATACATTCATTTGATGTAGTGTGGAACAAACTGCTGTGCCAAGTCTCGTACATGGCCTGCTTCAAGAAGGTGCACAACCTGTCTTTCCACAAGTGAAACTAGTTACAGCAGCTTAAGTGAAAGTAAAACAACAAGAAAAGAGAACACACATGAAATTTAAGTCACTATTAGCTCCATATATTATATTGATGTCAATAATGCGAAAGCAAGATAAAAGTCGCACAAACAAACATCAGAATCATCTGTCAAACTAGCCGAACCTTTGATAATAGTCCAAGCAGCTTGTAATTGTTAGGTCCCTAGGAAACCAACTGGCTATTTGTTTGGTGTTCTTGAGGATTTCAGGATGAAGGCTGCCAAGTGAACTGTATGTTTCTCTACTTTCTTCAGGTAAACAACATCGATGTGGTAATAGGTGGAGTACATATAGCATGAGCTTTTATGTGTCAGTCATAAAACTCATAACATCATAGGTATGATACGACAGTCTATCTTGCCAGCCCCACATTCTCTCAATCCATTTAGATTAAAGGCTTTACTCTTAGAACACTGTGATCAGAGGGTTAGTTGCAGCTATAATCAGGGAAGATTATATAACTTTGTGTTTGACCACCTCAACATTCAGGTCCAGTATTATTCATTGCAACATGAATTCAAAAATAACTGAAACTAATTTGATGATCCAAACCTTTCAAGGTGATAATATCTGATTAATCAAGATAGAAAATGATGTTTTCTCAAACTCCTTGTCATCGGATAGCTTCATATCATCAAAAAAACATCTCAAGGACAGATCCAAACTACCAACCTTAATTCTGTCATATTAAAACGATCTGAATAAACATTCAACTATTAAGAACACTTCCATAGAAGCGGTAGATCACAGTATTGTAACATCTAAGTTACCTTCTAATTCAAGTAAAGAACTCTGTTATCTTGTGATGTCCAAATATCTCAAACTCTTCTATGCTCTACTAGTTGCCCATGTTGCTTAGTCTTCCTTTAAGGGGGTTGTCGTGTGACAAGTTTTCTAGTAAAACTTGAAGTAGGTTGTTCAACACCCTTTACTGTTCCTTGTGTCTGGTACTGCACAAGTCCAGCCCTAAATTGTTCTCAACCTCCTTATGATAAATCATCTGCTTGCCACCAAAGTACCCAGCCTATCCATAACAGTGAAGCCGACTTCTTCCTAGTTATACATGCCTAGTAAATATATATGTATGTTATATGTATGCAGATGGATATATCCATCAAAAATCAATCATACAAGGTAATATACTATTTTGCTCTTAAAATAGAAATTGCAGTTAAGGATTTTAGCTGGCTAGGCAAATTAACTGAGGAATTAATGGTGCGACAACATACAATTCAATAATCTTGGCTCCAAGAAAATATTGCTCCAAAATTACCAAAATGTTCAACCATAGCTTGTATTATGCAGTTGTTTGAGGTTAAAGTACATGATTGTAAATTTACTAACAATATGGTGATTATCATGCACTAAAATTATTAACAAATGTACTTTACCAGTTCTGCATTCAGAAGGCCAATTCTTGGAATAGATTATCTACAAGAATGGAATTTCAAAAAACCTGAGTCTAGAAAGCAGAAATCCTGTTGCAAAAGTGCTTTCTGAACTGCATCAATCATCTATCAACCAAAATCACTACTCTTACGTGAACTAATTGAAGAATTATAACGATGAGGGTCTAAAGACAAACCTCTCCAATGGATGGACGCATCTCAGGGTTTCTCCTGACACAAAGGAATGCTGCTCTAGCCAAATGGTAAAGCTCATAAATGTCATAAGATTCTCCAAGGCGGGGATCGATAAGCTCATGTAAAGCCAGATTTTCAACTAGTGGCTCCACCTACAAAATATTAAAGACCACCAATTACACATGCTGCCATCTGACAAGAAACAAGAATTTAAATATAGTAATATGCTCATACCCATTGCAATAGATGTTGGTGATGCCCATTCGCTTCATCAAGTACCCCACGTCCTGATATCAGTTGAAACAGTATTATTCCAAATGCATAAACATCAGTCCTTACTGAGACAATACCAAATTCAGCATACTCAGGTGCAATATACCTACATTCGATCAAAAATAGTTGTCAGCATGAATAAATGGAAGGTTCAAATAAAACTGTCAATCAGCGCATAGTAACCGACAGAAGCTCCCTACCCAGATGTGCCTAGCACTCTCGTTTGGAATGAATCACTATTGGACTTCCATTTAGCAAGACCAAAGTCCCCGAGCTGTTTAAAAGCAGACTTCATCATACAATGCTCTAGGCACTGTGTAAAGATATAAATGCAAGTGATCTTTTCTCTTACAAACAAATAAAGTAAGCTACATGAAAGATATGCAGGTTGGAAATAGTAGCAAAGGACCAGAATTTGAAATTAATTTCATTATATTACGTGCCTTAGGCTTTGGGGTGGCTATGGTAGCCCAGCAAATGAGGATATGACTAACAGGAGGTGAAAATATATTTAGATCTTAACCTAACAAGAACTTAATCTTTTAGTAAGTTCAAAATTAAAACTACATGAAAGTGAAGAGCTTCTTTTACCTTTTGTATAGTAAATTCTTTGTAGCACAAAATTAGACAAGGATGCAGGGTGTCAATATTGAAGTGGATGCAAGTGTTCTGTTGTTTCATAATCCCCAAATAAAAAAGACCTCTCCTTTGAAGCAGTAGAACAAATATTTAAATGAATTTTAAGCTATTTATACCAGAAAGAGAAAGCATGAGAAGAAAAATGTTTGACATAATATATGGAAGAACTTTGTGCATGCCTAGATACAAGGGACTAAGTGTCACTTGATGTAAAAGCAATTTGACAGTTCGTCGAACTAAGTGTCAGTGGTTTTGTGTGACAGAAAGTAGCATACTACATCCACATCACCTAATTATTGTGTCCACTTCTGCCAGATTTTGGCATTAACGATTTTTTAGCCACATCAAAGCAACTTGTTCTTTTTCACATAATGAAAAAGCAACATTTGAAATAGTTTGAGTTAAAGCAGAAGCTAGTGGATATAAGTGATGAAGCAAATTACCATGGGAACAAAGTCATGTGTAAGAAGAATATTTCTTGGACGCAAATCTCGATGAATAATGGGACCTCCACGGCACTCTTCATGTAGAAAACGGAGACCTTTGGCTATTCCCATAGCGATAGCATATCTTTGGTGCCATTCTAGTAACTCTGCAGGTTGACCTAATTTTTTGTTTAAGATATTAGTATCAATCTAAAACAAAATTTTGGTAGGTTACTGATTCATTGCATATAGCTGTTAAACTACAATATAACTGACAATTTATCATTTTAGTATGCAAGCAATAGGTCATATTCAGTCCTATATATCACTTACTAAACAGATGCCAGTGAAGAGATTTGTTGCAGATATATTCATAAACCAAAATGTTATATTTCTCCTTGCAACAATAACCCAAAAGCATCACAATATTTCTATGTCTTGCAAAACTTAGAACATGTACTTCAGAAAAGAATTCAGTATATCCTTGGGTGCTTTCTTCTTTTCGCATTTTTGCTGCAATAATCTGGCCATCTTTGAGTTGGCCTTTGTATACAAGACCAAATCCACCTTCTCCCAATAGATTCTCTTTTGAAAAATCAGAAGTTGCATCTTGAATCTCTGAAAAGCGGAACTTCATAGACTCTTTGATATAAAACATTGACCGTAGTCCACAAGTAGCACAAAGAATTGGCTTTTCTAAGAAATCATGCTGAAAAACATTTTCATTGTTGCCCGCCAGGACCTTTGCAGAAAAGAGACTTCTATGTTCTTTGGAACTCGTCCCTGTAAGAAGACACGCTCGTTGTTACAATAAAAACTTGGATGAAAAAAGAACTTCCAGCTAGTAGATTCCAGCAGACAAGTAGAATAGCATATTAAGCTATTGTAGAATTATAACAAGCTATAAAGCACTCATCATCATATTGATTTTATCGAGCACAAAATTACGGTATTCATTATACAACCAACATGAAGTATAAAATGAAGGCTACTTATTATGTACTAGAGGATACATGCATACAGATTCAATCAACTGTGGCAGTTTGCTCAGTATTCCAATGAACTGAGTTCACCCTTCACTCAAGGTTTTTCAATTGGTCCTGGCTTCACACCTAAACGGCATGTGAATTTTTCCTTGCAACCTTCCAATTCAGAGTCAGCTAAATCCAGCAGCATTCACAGCAGATATCACAGAAAAATTGTACAAAAAATTGCAGGTCATGAAACGTCAAAACTAAAAAAGATTAATTATGTAATTAGAAGATATCATATGAAAACTAGAGTTCTAAATTTCAATGTGTACCGCCCGGTATGGGCGGTATGTACCGATCCGAGAGGATACTGGTACGTGAACTACTCTTTACTAAGCGGCACCAGTATTTTGATTAGTACCGAGGTGTACCGATCGGTACCGCCTCGGATTTTGACTGTTACCAAGGTGTACCAGTCGATACGCCCTGACATGGTAAGTAAAGGTATTTTTAAGGTTTTAGAGTATATTGTCAGTATGTCTTAACGTACCAATGGTACATACTGTTAAATTTCAGATTTTGGTGAGAAAATAAATTAAAGAATTTATAGGCTAATATGTTTTTAAGATAAGTAACATAGGAAAACTTCGATTATGGGCTCGAACCTTTGAAGGATAAATTATCGAAGCAGGAGAAATAGATGTTGGGTCGGAAAGCATCATATCAGAAATTGGACGTCGAGCCAGAGGATTGGTCGATGTGCTGAAGGATGGACTTCATACCATAAGTTCGAGCATCAAGTAGGAAGGATCAGGTATTGCGCCAAAAAGATCGGATATTGTAGGAGGTTAACATACCGATAAGAGTGGGAAAGGACGATGTGTCGGACGTTCGGATGAAATGTCGGATGAGCAGATGACATGCTGAACAACGTGCTAAAGGCTTCATGATTGTAATTAGAGTGGTTAAGTCCTGATCGAAGTTGTTTGGAGTCTAATTGAGTTGGTTTTGGGTCATAACCATGGCAACTTAATTAGAAGCTCATTGGGCCTATTGGAAAGTCAATTCGGTGACCTGAGATTGGCCCAAGTGATGGTACTGCTTGAGAGTCGGAAAGCACGAGTTGTGCTTTTCGGGAGTTTTGGCGATAGTATCGCCTAGGACGATAGTATTACCGCCTAGGCTGGCAATGGTAGTTCTAAAGCCCAGATTCCCAGGCTCTGTTCGGTGATAGTACCGCCAATACCTCGAAAACTCAAGGATTTGATTTTTTGGCTCTATTTTTTAAACCATTTGGGGTCTATAAATACCCCACTCATACTTGCTTGGTGTATGAACGAAAACTTATGATTTGAAGTGTGTAAACTCTCTTAAAAAGTGTCGAGTCTCTTCCTCCTTGAGTTTATAGGTTATACTAAGGAGGAGTGAGGTATTTTCTAAAAGAGATGTGTGAAAGTTCTTTCGAAAGGATTATAAGGAAGGTAGTTGGTCTTCGCCCATTGAAAAGAAGATCGGTAATGAAAGCCGATGGTCTCGAGGGAAGAGGAATCGAGAGTGGACGTAGGTCGGGACGACTAAACCACTATAAATCGGTCTGCATCCTTTTCTTGCTTTCCCTTATCATTACTTATTGATTTACTCACTACTCTTACTCACATTTTTAGTTAAACACATTTCCGATACAGGTTTTATCAATCAAAATTTTCAAATCAAAACTTTATTTCGAAAGCACTAATTTATCGATCCCCTTCTTTGTGTTTTTATGATCCTAACACATATCGGTATGTACCATACTGAGCAAAGCTTGATACGTTGGTACGAACCGATATTCAAAACCGAATGAAAATCATAAAATTCTTTTCATTAAAATTCTGAATATCATTCCAAGATTGCACAACTGTGTGACTACCGAATGAAACGAAGGTCAGGAGATAATAATATAAACTTCCAAAGAAAGAAACAATTATGCAAACAAAACCTTGTAATAAATGGTAGAGGTCCACTCTCACATACCAGATTGCTTAGATGAAGACACAGTCGTATCAGATGCCAATATACTATAATCCCAGGACCTTCCAGGGGATGAAGATATCATGCTTGACTTTGGCTTCAAGGCATTGGAGCAATCTTGGGCAGTTACAGGTGCATAATAGTCTGCAGAATACATCAAAGAAGACAAATTGGTTTGATTCTCCTGCTGGTTATCCTCCTGTATGTTTGAACTGGGTTGAATGGTTTTCCAGACAGAATAAAACTTCTGCTCTAATATTCCTTTACTTGAAGAATTTGTTACGAATGGCTTTGGCACTTCAATTGATAGATTATCACTGATCAATGCAACTTTGCAAGATATGTGTTTCATATAGAATTTCAAATCCCTTCGCAGGTGTCTGTCAACACATGTCATTATTACGATTTAGTAAGCACTTAAGGTTGAAATATTAAAAGGAAAAAATCATAACAAATTTTGTGCTTCCATGAGATAAGAGGAAAAAGAGGCATCCAGGACAAATAACTTGCACTAGCAGCTGTTTGCATGGCTTTTCTCCATCATTTGAGAAAAAAAAAAGTGGTATACTGAAAAACCAACCTGTATTTACTGGTCCAGGCACATCCTGGTAAGTGGACGACCATTTCTCAGCCCAAAATACAGTTTTAGAAGAACATGGTTCAATCATGATTCGGATGGTTCTTTCAGTTTTGTCTCTGTACTAGATGAAGGAAAATGAGTTTTGGCTAGTACATCTATTTCTGCTTTCGATAATCCACTTGCTAAGTGAAGTGAATCAATCATGCAAACCTGTATACTTTGAGGAGCAACTTTTAGTGGAAACTGGAACCTAAACCTTAAAGTGGTTCATGAATGAGAGATTCAAGTCCCGAACATAAGGGGATAATGATCAGGAGGAGGAGGTGGCGGTGGTCCTAATCGGATATACTATGAGACGATTGAATCACAAAACCGATGCGGTGGAGGAGAGGATGACAAGGATGCCCAAGTACCTAGAACTCCAATCAACTCCACCTCCACCAAGAAGCAAAGGGCAGACAAGCTGAAATCACTTTCTTTCCTCTTGCTTTTTTTTGGCTGGGCCTTTAATCTTCCTTGTGGTTGCCTATACAGATATACTGTACCAAGCTGCTAGCAACAAAGTATCCGGTATGGACCAACACCTAATCCTTCCTCAAATCCTTTCAGAGGCTCAATTATTCAATAGAGGTTGAGATGCACTAGTTCAGTGATAAATTTTTTTGTCTATTTGACAACTGACAAATTCACACTTCCTGCAGCTAGCAACAGTTGGCTAATATTTGATCTGTTCAACTAAACTACAAACTCCATTTTCTAAAACAAAATTCACCTTTGCTATTGAATAAGACAAGTTTGTGCAGTAAAGACTAAAATTTGAGGCATAAATTTCATGCATGTTATTTTTAATAACTAAGAAAAATATGTGGTGATTTTATCTCAACTGCATCCCAAAGAAACAAGCAAGCAACCTGAAATAATTTATTTTATGATAGATTCATTAGAACCCTACCGGAATTACTAAGCTTGTTTCTGGTCCCAGACAGAATGAATTCACTAATTATACATCAGAACAAAGCTCTGTTTTCTAAAACAAAATCATTTTGTCACAATTAAAAATATATGTCCCAAGTTGCAGCTTGTTTACCAATCACTGCTCTTATGCCCTCAACCTCAAAACGCTTGGCATATGGAACCAATGATCCAAATTTATCAAATTTAAAAGTTCATTGATTATTGTTAAAATGGTACTCTAAGGATAATGAACGAAATGCTAGGAGAAAAGGCATCCATGTAAACCAATTCAAACTGAATCATGGCCTCAATGTAGAACTAATTTGATATAGGGCTGTCACAAGCAATAACAAATATATGTCAGAAGTAGCTACCTTCAGCAGAGCGAATTTTATATAGATTATTGATATGACATATTAAGTACCAGCCAAGCATTATTAAAAATCTATGTAGATCTCTCTTGCATGCATATTTCCAGAAACAGAGCATAAGTAGTGGGAGCCCATTGGTTTAATGCAAAGTTGCAAACCATTGTTTCAATTGATTGTTTATAAACATGAATACTGCACTCAAAGGGCATACTTTGAAATGCAAATTCATTTAGTAGCAACAAATGTTATAATACAATATAAGAGCCAACGGATATATATATATATATATATATATATATATATATATAATCTCTATCGACACATCTAAAATCTCTATTGATTCACTTGCATTGAAATAAGAATCTAAATAACACAAGCAATTATTAGCATAATACCTATCAAGTATCACCCAGGAGGCTTTATTAGAAACAACCGCTTGCAGAATAACAACCTTTGCTGGAGTTCCGGCAGTAATTTTGACATTAATGCTGACCTAGCACATTGATCATATGATATTAAACAGATACATGAGATATAGTTTGCCCCTTTTTTTTACACCCTCTACATATTGGAAGGTGAAAATAGATGCATAGCCACATATATGAATGAAAAGGCATCATTGCCTTGTTGAACAAGATATATATCGATAAAAATTTAAGAACCAAATAAAATTAGCAAGAACCAAATTTGGCTTCTGCAGAAATCCTTCAAGCATTCAAACATGTCAGATGCAGTTATAAGATACAGATAAAGAATTGCATCTAACCAAATGTTAACTAGACAATGATTTTTTGTGTTTTCCAATAGATGCAAGATTGCATGACAGATTAAATCCAGAATCCAAAGTGGAAGAGAAGATTCAGGTGGATATCATAAAATGATAAAATAAGAGAACAAGAAGATGTAAATCATATATGTGCCTCAAGTTGAAGATGCTTGACATGAGTGCTTATGCTAATCCCAATTGATTCACATGTACTGGAAGATACATAAAGTGTCACCTCAATAAAACTCATCATGGTAGAAACTCTGCAAATGGTAAGTATCGAAAGTAAATCACCTTACAACAAATAAGTAAAGGTGTTTGTTCCAAATTTGTTGCTATTACCGCTTCATTGTTACACATTTCAGCACTCTGTTGAAGCATGCTCTCATATTTATCAACCTTCTTTGAGACCTCCTCTTCAAGTGCCCAAAAATTCGTCCCACCAAAGGAGTCAGCGCATGCTTTTGTCTGATATCCCACTAAATAGAGCAAACAAACTGACTCATAGTAATCAAGAAAAGAAGATAATGCAACACATATTAGACACTTAACATTGTAGCTTTTTTATTTTATTCCCTTCTAGAACATTATGTTATTCCCTCCCAATTATGGTTTACATGTGACAACAAAATAGTTCAACTCATCGTAGAAAGTAAAATTACATAATTACTTGCTTTCGTCCAATAATGCAGCAACCATTTTCACTTCAGTCTACAAATGCTTCTTCAGTATCAATTCTATCCATAATTAGATATTTTTCTAGCAAAGAAACAACCCTTGTATACTCTGTGAACAATGTCTGAAGCAATAAAATGAATGCTAAACTAATAACTGACAAAGAACAGAAAATTTAAATCCGAATTTATAGCTCAGTGGAGAAACACGAACACAGTGGCTAGGTTTATTGGCAGATAGTCACCAGGAATTTATTCAATATACTGCCTAAGGTCATCTGATTGACAAGTTACACATGTTTTTGTCTTCAATTTTTGTCAATAACCACAGAAAAGCAACATCAAACATTCATGATCTTAATCGGGAGAATATGTAAGTTCTTAACCCTGTTTTATTTAAGCATAACCTCTTACCTTGTGAAGTTAAAATCACAATTGACATCTCAGCTTTTCTGGAGTTTAATAATGCAATAAGTTTCTTTTAAATTGTTCTATTAGTCATACTTCCACTTCAAATAGATAACTAAAACCCCAAAGGCAACACTCAGAACAGTTAACAAGGGACAAAACTACCAACCGTATTAGGAAAGACTAATGACTTCTCTACTTTCCAATAGTATTTCTAGTTTTCATCTCCATTTTTTTATCTGGTGAGAAAAAAAGAAGTTATGTTTACCAGTCATGGCCTAACTAGTGGTATGGCTTCTCTACTTGCTGGATATGAACTCCTCGAAGACATTTGCTGCTGGAGGGCTGAACTCAATGCAATCAATTGGGCTTGGAAATTTCCCTGAAGAAAGGGATAACACATCTTGAAGTTGAATCAGATGCAGAACTTGTTACTAAAATCCTCAACAAAGAGGATAATCCTTCATGACACTTGATAAATTGTGTTAAGAACTATTTTGAGTCTGGCAAGCTGTTTTCAGGGAGAGAAATCAGAGTGCTAACTGGTTAGCACATTTTACGAAAACCTCAAGTCTTCTAGTATTTGGAGGGGATCTTAGCTGACTTTGGTCAAATTTTGTGCTCCGAGGAGCATAGTTTACTTTGTATCAGGCTTTTGATGTAATATAGTTTCTTTTTTCGGGGGAAAAAAGAACTGGTGGTAGCTACGAGCAATGTGGTGGCGGTAATGGTGATGTGGTAGCGGAGGTGGAGAATTTCGAAACAGTTTTCTTAGCATTACGAGGCACTTTCTTGATTAATTCAAGCAGAAAACAATAAGAAGAATGTGAACCTCAATCTTACTGGGGTTGGTGACGGTGTGGAGGACGCCGAGGACGAGGAGGGTGTCGCCGCCGCAGAGGATGCCGCCCCTCGTGCGGATGGCACTCACGATGAGTCTTAGCTCAACCTCGTTGTGGTCCCTTGTGGCGTCGCAGGCCAGGATCACCACGTTGTGCGGCGGCAGCGAGGATCGGCGCTCCTCCTCCTCCTCCTCCATCTGCCGCCACAACGAGTCAGCCGGTCCCTTCTCCTTCCTCGTCTCCCTCTCCTCCTCCTTCCCGCCCCGGCTACTAGGGTTCGATCCCCCACTCCGCTCCTCCATCTTCCACATCGAGCCGATCGATCCCTCCTCCTCCTCCACATTAGGAATCGATCCGCCTTATGACTTGGCACTCGGGATCGGAGCATCAACAAATATTCGAAGGATATCCTTCGAGGATATTCGGAAGAAGATTTGGTTGGAATTTGGAGGTGTCTGGGGATATTATAACGGCGCCTGCCGGCCGAGTGGGGCGGCGAAGAGAAAGAAGACGAGGATGAGACGAAGGGAAGAGACATTTCCATGCAGCGGGTGTAATGACATGTTACACCTCTTTAGCATGTCTCTCTTAGATTTAAAAAATAAACTTTTATAATTATAAAAATAAAATATTTAATTTTATTTATTCTAATATCGTTAATTTTATAAATGAAAAATATAGTACGTGCGTGAATTATCTGAAAATGATAGATAAAAAGATAATTTTAATTATAGTAACAAGCTAATTATAAATTACCTCTTCTATTTAGATCTTTTTAACATCTCGATCTATAAATTTAAAAAATCATATTAAAATATCTATAGTTACTAAAGTAAAATATTTAATCATATTTATCCTAATGTCATCAGTTTTACTGACGAAAGATATAGTACTTATATTAATGATATAAAAATAATGAATAAAAAAGTAATTTCAATGGTGGTGACGAATGGTGACAATATGAGTGGCTGTTTGTGGTGATGGTCGATCTTGTCCATGTTAATCTGAACATTAACGATGAGGAGGAAGAAGAGGGAGATGAGATATCTATGTCGGTGCCACACTGCTTTGTCTTCTCTTCCTCCTCCGATATCGTTTTGCATCTGTGTTGATGCTATAAGAGGAAGAAGAGATAGATGAGGCATTTGCGTCATGGACGATGAGGAGGAAGGAGGAAAAGAAGGCAGGTGAGGTAAAGCGATTTATTCATATACTATATCTTCCATTGGTAAAGCCGATAGTATTAGGGTAAATAGGATTAAATAATTTACCTTCATAATTATAGATATTTCAATATAAATTTTTTAAATATATGGATCGAGATATTAAAAGGATTTAATTATAAGAGAAAATTTATAATTAGTCTATCATCTTCATTGAAATTATTTTTTTGTCTATTATTTTTATGTCATTCATGTATATGTTGTATTGATTAAATATTTTATTTTCATAACTATAAAAATTTCAATGTAAATTTTTTAAGTCTAAAGATCAAAATATTAAAGAAGTATAACTATATAGGGTAAGGTAATATGTAATTAGCCATCCATGACCCTCCATGACACTTTAAATAATGTTGAATTAATTTGTAAGGTCACATCTAATATGATTGGCTATATAAGCTCTTTAGTTAGGCATCCCATAAGGGTTGCAAGATTTGAATCCACATGATGAGATTTGTGGAAAAGAGGCGGCTGGGCTCACTCATCTCTCTAAACCTTCATTTGGTCAACAAATCCACATCAGATCATGATTACCTCAAGACTATAAAGCACCTGAGAACTTAGAAAAGTATGTGGAATGATCAGCCGACAGGGTAGGAATTGGCCAACCAACATTCTTTGATGAGTGTGCCTTCGTGTTTCCCACCAAAGCTTTGGAATGAAAGCAGAAGATTAGGAGCGTACAGATGGATTACCAACTTATTAAGTAAAGATGACGCAGTCATTATCTCATGCACAGTTCACGAAAAGGATGCATGAAACTGAAGCACTTTGCCAATGAAGTTAGGCACAAGTCACTATGAAAGAAACTCACTTTTCTTGTGCAGTTCTGTTCTTTCAAAGAGAGTTTATTGGGACAAAAACACCTTCTGCATTGTTGCAGATTAAAGAACACCGACAACTAGCAAATCAACAGTGCATGGAGGAGAATACAAGATTAAAGGCCAAAGAGTTGATTATAATCTCATTGGCAGAAGAACTGTTTCACTTGATCTATACATATATGCTTGAACACACACACACAGAGCGACAGGAACACGCCTTGATCGAGAAACTACGTGCATGAATCCTAATACGGCATGCTTATCTCGTCGAGATCATCCAAGGACAAGAACACCTCGTCCAAGCACGAAAGCTCGGTCTCCTCGACGCCGAAGAAGCTCGCCTCCTGGACTCGGCAAATTGCGAGGTTAAGATCCTGGCGAACAAAGGGAGATTTAGTGAGAGATCTATTACAGGGAAAGATAGCGTGAGGGCTTAATGCACTCACCGGTCTCTTGTTCCCTCTGGCTCTGGATGCAGAAGAACTGCTGTTTCTGTTGGTTCTGCTACTGGGAACAGCAGCGCCGTCCTCCAAGAGTCGGTATTCATGCATCACCCAACTGGTTTTTACCCCCAGAGGGGCTTCTCCTATGTGGAAGACAAGAGTAGTCTTTGTACCGACATCCTTGTCGCCGCTCGTGACCGTCTCCTTTGCTCCGACCGCCATCCAGTAGCCGCTCGGCGAGACCTTGTTTACGGTGGCGTGACTGAAGAAGTAGCAGTGGTTGCCTCCTTGCAGGGCTTTACCTAAAGGTTACGTATCGATACAAAGTGATGGGTCCAAGTCATGCATGACGATCGAGCAAGAAGAACAGGTGAGCACTGTTAAGCTGACCATTTAGTTGCCATGGATCGAAGCGGCGGAGATCAAGGAAGGGGACGACATCAGGCTGGCATGGCAGACGCGAAGCCTTGCGGTAGAGGAAATGGACGACGAGCTCTTCATCGGTAGGGAAGAACTGGAAACCAGGAGGGAGGTCACTCATCCTGACAACTTGTATCAATGGCGGTGGAAGAGGAAGAAGAAGATGAGGATGATCCAGGAGCTTATATGGTGCTAAGATTCATGGCCGTGGTGGATATAGCAGACGTAAGAGACACGGGTTTGGAGACCAAGAGAGTAGAAAATGGAGGTGGGGTGCCGAGCAAGAGATCAACATGGAGAAGTTAATGATGGCCGAAGCCCCCACATAACATTTCCCTGCATCAAATCATGCGTGCAAGCACACACACCCCAATTATCGTGGGGGTCCTATGGTGCTTCTCGACTGTGTCAAACTGGTATCTAATGATGATGGAGCTTAACACTACGTACCTTGCTCCCATGTACTGTATCAGAGTATTCTCCTATCATTGACCTTACTGCAATATCTATTACCTAAATCATTCCCAATCTGCTCTTCTGATTAGTAAAAAGCTCACACATAGCTATAGCTCTCATCAAGTGAGCAAAAGTAAACCAACATATAGATTTGCTGAATACAAAGATCGATAGGCCATAAGAATTCCCCCATGAAAACTAGGAATTCTTTCGGAAACAAAGACTGTTATCTGCACACCTCATGCCACCGCAATAAGAACGTCATCAGTGAGCCCCTTCCTCTCAGTATGATAATACTGTTGATCACAGAGCCTCCAACAAAGGAGGCATGGTCTTGCCTTGTTCTGGTGTCAAACAAGGGGCAATGATTGCTGTAGCTAAGAGGCCTGAGACAGAGAGGTAGAACCACTTTTGGGTGGGGGATTCAGGTGCAGATAGAACATGGTGGACTCCAAAAGTCCAAGAACCGTGCCCCGGTGCTGTTCTTCCACCGTGCTGTTCGCGTATGTATGATGCAACCTGTCGTACATGTCCAGATCAAAGATCACACCACCAATTCCAGAGTTTGACTTGCCTTGTGGGCATCGTTCATGATGCCTTGGCATTCTGTCGAGCACTCCCATGACGCCACGCTCACCATTGGCCTTGCACGAAGCACGGATGCGTGCCTCGCCGAGTTGACTGACCTCTCCTCTACCGAGCATCCTTTCTGAAGCATTTCATCAAGCAGCGGCGATGGTGTGAAGGCGTTCTAGGTGTTGGATCCTTATTGGATCCGGTTCCACTAAAGTTTGGGTCTTACTCGGGTTGAAACCCGAACCCGATAACCCAATCCAATGCGTTGATCCGCCAAGCGAAGCGATGCACGTCCCGATGTAAAGGAAGCACCCACCGAACGAAAGGCGCTTCGCTTCGTCTCCGTGGCAGCATAACGCAGAGCTTTAAGAGTCGTGCTTCTCTCTCACCTCCTCCACCAAAGAATCCAGTGCGCCAGCCTTCCCTGCCTACGAAATGTGCCACCCGCTATCTTAGAAAAGATCAGATACAAAGTCATGAATATATGAAAGTGATAAATATATAATTAAAAAAATTATTTCTGATAAGAATTAAACTAAGAAGATAGAAAGATAAAAATTGTAAAAGAAACTATGAAATGTATAAGATGTAATTGTCTAGTTCATTTTGATAGTGAGCTTTTGATAGCTATTTATACATACTCAGCAGAGAAGTTATACATATTCAGTATGGAGGATTTTTCTCAACTGCCTTGTGGAAATCTTATCTGCTTATCATGCCCCTGCAAGATTGAGCTTCCATCAAGGATGCCGATCTTGGATCGATGAGATGAAAAAAGTTTACGGGCGAGAGGCTTTGTGAGTGAGTCTGCTAGTTGATCAGTTGTATGTACGTGAAAAACACGGAGTTGATGTTTGACAACTTGATCTCGCATGAAGTGGAAGTCGATGGCAATGTGTTTCATGCGGGAATGAAACACTGGATTAGCACATAAGTAGGTAGCTCTAATATTATCACAATATATTGTAGGAATAACTATGGAGTTGACATTGAGTTCCTTGAGCAGATTTGTGATCCAATTGAGTTCAACAGCGGCGGTGGCGATGGCACGGTATTCAGCTTCAATTGTAGATCGTGTAACCATCTTTTGTTTTTTAGAACTCCAACTTAATTGGAGTAGCTCTAAGGAAGACAATGTATCCTGACGTAGATGTTCTATCATCAAAGTTCCCTGCCCAATCAGCATCAGCAAAGGCATGGAGATGGAGTGAAGTATTTTTACGAAGAAAAATGCCATGATTAAGAGTCCCTTTAAGATACTGCAAAATTCGTTTGACTGTAGACCAATGCGTGGTAGATGGTCGATGCATGAATTGCGATAATTTATTGACGGCAAATGAAATATCTGGACGGGTGAGAGCCAAGTACTATAAGGAACCAAGGACTTGTCGATATTGAGTCGAATCTGTAGCAGGACTACCATCACATAATTTAAGTGATTCACTGGTAGAGAGAGGAGTTGTAACCTCTTTCACATCCTGCATATTTGTCTTTGATAATAAATCTTGAATATACTTTCTTTGTGATAGGAAGAGACCTGAAGATGTAAATGTTGCTTCCACTCCCAGAAAGTAGCTTAAAGTTCTTAGATCTTTGAGGGAAAATCGATCGACCAAGTGCTTTAGAAATGCCTGAGTCTTCAAAGGATCATTTCCTATGACAATAATATCATCCACATATACTAAAAGATATATTATGCTTCCATTGTGCTGGCAAATGAATAATGAGGTATCAGACTTGGAATTGATGAAGCCAATTGAGGTAAAAATTAAGCCAAGCTCGTTATACCAAGCCCTTGGAGCTTAACGAAGTCCATAAATAGCTTTTTGAAGTTTGCAGACATGCCTCAGATATTGAGGATGAATGAAACCAGGAGGTTGCTGCATAAAGACATCTTCAGTAAGTGTCCCCTGTAAAAAGGCATTATTAACATCCAATTGTCGTATGTGCCAGCCCTTTGAGATGGCCAAACTCAGGATAAGACGAATTATTGTGGGTTTAACAACGGGACTAAATGTCTTTGTGAAGTCGACACCAGGTCGTTGATGAAACCCTTTGGCTACTAGACGTGCTTTATATCTGGCAACGGATCCATCTGGGTTCCGCTTAATTCGAAAGACCAATTTACACCCGATGATATTTTATTTGTGATGAATGGGTACTAAGGTCCATGTAGAGTTATTGAGGAGAGCATCATATTCATCACACATGGCTTTACGCCAGTGAGAAGATTTTTGAGCTTGAGTGATTGTAGTGGGTTCACTGGCCTTAGTGGAGGAACTTGTTATAGCATGTAAGTCAAGGACTTGATGTGGTTTAAAAATATCACTTTTGGAGCGTGTTGTCATTGGATGTCTAGGGGGGATATAAGTGGTAAATTGTGTTGGTGGTATAGCCGAGAGCGAGTCACTATCATGGATCGAGCCAACCGTCGGCACAATAATGTCACTAGGTCTAGGAGAAGGTAAAGCCAGTGGCAATGTTGCCGAGGATATTACTTCATTAATAGGGGAAACTTGTGAGGAAGGGAGTGGAGAAATAAAGGGAGTGAGAAGCTATTGAATTAAAGTAATAGTAGTATGTAGATCTTGAGGGTAAGGATTGTATGGTGTCATTGGAGGTTCGTGTGATGAGATCAGAGGGATATTCCAGTGATGCATGTTTATCGGAGTAACTTGCATGGTAGGATTATTTTGAAAAGGAAAGACAGACTCCTCAAAAATAACATGACATGATATAAAGACTTTTTTAATTTGGGGTTCATAGCATCGAAAATCATTATGTTCAAGAGAGTAGCCTATAAAAGTGCAAGGCTTAGATCGTGGTGTTAGTTTATGTGACGCATAGGGACGGAGCCATGGATAACATAAACAACCAAAAACTTTAAGTTTATGAAGGTTTGGAAGCTTGTAAAATAATTTTTCAAATGGTGACTCATATTGTAAGACTAGAGTGAGCATACGATTAATGAGATAAACTGCAGTTTGAAAAGCTACTGACCAAAAAGGTGGTGGCATGGATGCTTGATGTAGAAGGGAGAGACCAGTTTCAATGATATGCCGATGTTTGCGTTCAACAGAGCCAACTAATTGGGGAGTATATGGGGTAACTTGAGGTGTTGTATACCACAAGCAAAGAGACAGGATGTGAGGGCTTGATATTCGCCTCTATCATCAGAGTAAACTGTTTTAATAGAAGATTAAAAAAAATTCTTGACCAACTTTCGAAAGTTGGTAAATACTGTGGAAACATCAGACTTATGGTGGAGAGGATATAACCATGTGTACTTAGTAAAATAGTCTACAAAAATGACATAAAATCGAAACTTATCAAAAGAAGGAATTGGGGCAGGGCCCCACACGTCGGTATAAATGATTTCAAATGGTTTAGAGCAAGAAATGGAGGTTGTCCCAAAAGGCAGTTTATGACTTTTATTGCAAAGACAAGCATCACAATGATTGACAGTGCTATTGATTTTCAAAGTAGGAAGAGAATAACGAGAAAGTAATTTTTATTGGATAAAAAGAGAGGGATGACCAAGACGACGATGTCATACAACAACCGGAGCTGCGATTGAAGAGTGAGCAGTAGGAAGGATAATTTACAAAGCGGATGACCACTCATAAATGTTGTCTTTGTTCTGGCCCTGGACCAATGATGCCCTCGTGCTCAAATCCTTGACAAGAAAAAAGTTAGGAAAGAATTCAATTGAGGTATTATTTTATTTACATAATTGAGAAACATAAATAAGGTTTCTTTTAATGTTAGGTGCACACAAAACATCATCGAGTGTAAAAGTTATGGTAAGTGAACTAAGCGTTGAGGAACTAGAATGAGTAATAGGAATTATTTTATCGTCACCGATGATGATATCTTCATTTTCGTCATAGTTATTGTGGATGGACAAGTTTTGAAGATCAGAGATGATGTGATGAGAGGCGCCCGAGTCCATAATCCAATTAGGTTGGGTAGGAGTTGGAGTAGCCATGAAATTCGCCTGAGGCCACTGTGATGGAGCAGGGAGTCTGGGGCGAGACTGACAAACTTTCGCGGAGTGTCCGACTTTATCACATAGTTGGCGAACGACTCGTTGGTGGCTTGTGAAGTCAGGACGCGACGGTTGAGGATTATGAAAGTTACCACCTTGATATGGATAAGGGGGGTTTGGTCTGGGCCCCATAGGGCTAGGACGCAGCTTAGCTAAATCGTTGTTGACGTGCTTATTATATTGGTTGCTCTTCCTCTTGGATTTTTGATTGACCTGAGCTGTAATAGGTGGTCCGAGCAACCTATCATCACACTTCAAGTATGTCTCATAGTCGATTATCATAAAGTTCTTCAAATGATATTGGTGAGTCGCGTGTCCGAAGTGCAGCTGTCAGTTCTTTGTACTCGCCTCCTAGGCCATTGAGGGTATGGATTAAGACTTCTTCATCACTGAGAGAATGACCGATCAAAGCTAAATCATCGATGATAACTTTGATATTTTGTAGATAATCAGCAATAATACTTCCCTCTTGTTTCGTTTTCATCATATTGGAGAGAGGTCTGAGCATGCGAGTACGTGAGCAACTTGCCAAAGTTGTTTGTAACTTGCACCATGCTTCTATAGCAGTCGTACATGAGGATATCAACGGGGCAATAGATCCAGCAACAGAAGCTTGAATAGCTTGGAGGATGAGGCGATCTTGACATAACCATAATTTGTGAGCTGGATTAGGCACTGGACTGGGTTCACTTGGGATGTTGATCATTTCAGGTGGACACTGGAGAGAGCCATCAACGTAACTTAGGAGATCATAGCCAAATAGAAGATTAGAAAGTTGTGCCCACCAAGATGTGTAGTTGCTGCCTTTAGATAATTTGAAGGGAATGAGTGCTGCAACATTGATAGTGATAAGACTTTGAGAAGTGCTCAGAGTCCCTACAGAAACAGGTACAGGAATATCGGAAGAGGAAAATGAAAACATCCCAGATATTTTGTGGCGGTTTAAGTGATCTTTACAGAAGATGTAAAGATATAGGAGGGAGGGAAAAGGAGAAAAGCAGATCGATGCGCTATAGAGGAGGCTGTAGTGATGCAGCGATGCACTGTAGAGGAGGCTGCAGCGATGCACTACAGAGGAGGCTGCAGCGATGGGCGAGGAAGCTACAGCGATGAGCAAGAAATCTACAGCGATTAGGTGAAAAGAAAAAAAAAATCTGTAGCAATTACAGTTGTAGAGAAATTACTACGGCAGAAGGAAGCAGCTACAAATGGAAGCTGTAAAAACTACAATCGTTCCTGTTGCCGCAGGAAGGTAGTGATGATAAGGATGGCAGCAATAACACTTCTCGCTCGAGTGAGATGTGGGAATGAGGAATAGAGGTCGCTGGTCGGGGAGCAGTTGTGAGGACGGTGGCCACCACGGTAGTGTAGGCGAGATTCTTGTGAGGGTAGGAGGTGGCCGAGCAATCTCCGACTCCGGAACAGGAAGCAATGACATCGGAGGAGAGGTAAGCAGCAGCACTGCCCTTTCCAACTGAACAGAAAAGAGGAGCAGTAGAAGGCTTCAGCAAAGCTGTCTACATCCGCAAGGAAGAATGCTTGATACATAAGAATTAAACGAAGAAGATAGAAAGATAAAAATTGTAAAAGAAACTATGAAATGTATAAGATGTAATTGCCTAGTTTATTTTGATAGTGAACTCTTGATAACTATTTATACACACTCAGCAGGGAGGTTATATACATTCAACATAAAAGAATTTTTTCAACTGCTTAGATATTTCCTCAACTACCTTAAGAAAATCTTATTTGCTTATCAATTTCATTGTACATCTCACCATATATGTGTGGGAGGGGGCACTTACACTCATATTTGTCCATTGAATGACTCTCTCTAACTAATGATTTTTTAAAAAAAATCTTAAATAGTTTGCATTTGATAATTTTTTTTATTTTTAGAATCTCATAATATGTAAGTAAATTCTTCATGTGCATACATTATTTAGATTTATTATTTGATCTTTCATTTTTTTGAAAAATAAACAAATACCTATGACAAAATACTCTTTAGTGATTATAAGAAACATCTTTCTCTGTCGATATTGTTTTTGGAACATCTTCATCTAGTAAAACTGGAGTAGTAAGGTTAATCAAATCCACTACAATTCTCATAGTTTCACTCCAAAAGGATTTGGAACACCTTCCTCGTCGCCCTCTGCGCCGCCTATTGCGTCTCCTTCACGTTCACCAACAGCTACCGGGCAGCGTCGGGGCGGCTTTACTACGCCGTGGCGACGCTCAGGGGGATATGGGCGTTCAACGGGCGGCGCAAAGGCCCGCCGGAACCCGGCACGTACCGCCTCACCTGGTCGGACCTCTTCCACGCGTCGCTGTCGCTGTCGCTGGTGGCGTTCCTCACGATAGCGCTGCTTCATGACGACGTGATGCGATGCTACCACATCGACTTGCCGAGGAAGGTGACGAACACGGGGCCGCTGGTGATCGGGTTCCTCTTCAGCGTCCTGTTCGTGGTGTTTCCTTCGAGGAGGAGGGGAACCGGCTATCGTTTCTTGCCGCAGGGCGATGCCGTGTACTTGAGAAGCTAAGCTTGTTCGAATCGTTTAGTTCTCTTATTTTCCTGCTCGACAAGAATCGAAAGCACTCGAGTCGATCGGGTCATCAGCCAAGCAATAGTCTGCTTACTCTGCTATCGTTCTTTAGACCGCCACAGGCACCCAAAGAACAAGCAAAATGATACCCAACAAATCAAGCTCAGAAAACCCTTGCAACATCGATTTCAGATCAAACCTTCAGAAGTTTTGCTCGATCATGTCACTCTAAGAAAGTAATATGAAGTGAAGATTAACACAGTTCAATCCCTTCTACACTTGGAAGAAGATTGTAGCTGTTGTGGATGGCATTTAACTCTGTTGAGGTTCATAAGAAGGCAAAAAAGAGAACTGAGCATGTCCAACTATAGAGATTAAGAGCAGGAGTTGCAATTCTAGTTTCATATAGATACCATCAGGGATCAGCAGATGGGC